GCTGAGTCAACCCTGAGCCGGTGAGATTTGAACCGCTGAACTGCTGATCTAGCAGTAGCCTGCAGTGCTGCATTTAACCACTGCGCCACCTGGATGTAGGATGACAGCTGGTTTTTTCACAGTATGATGGATCATAATATAGCTGGTCCATTTTCCTGTAAACTAGCCGATTTTGAGAATGTTGCTTAATATTGTTAAAGTTGAACAGTACTATGCTGTTTGTCATATCCACCTGTAGAAGTGGAACAGATATTAGCCAAAAGTGCCTCTCTCTACATTCACCCTGGAAGCACCATAGAGCAGGGGTGTCAAACTCGTTTTCATTGAGGGCCGCATCAGGGTTGTGTTTGACCTTGGGGGGGGGGCGTGGCAAAGGTGGGCATGGCCAACTCGACATCATTCATGTCAGGGGCACCTTGATGGCCCGAGTCTCTGCCAGCAAAAACGGGCTCCCAATTTTTGGCTGGGACGGTCTCCTGCAACCCTCTGCCAGCAAAAATGGAGCTTGGGAGGGCTGCGCACTGCCCTCCTGAGCTCCGTTTTTTGCTAGCAGAGGCACTACAGGCCGGTCCTTCACTGTTTTCAGGGCCTCCCCGCAGGCCAGATCTAAGCATCCCACGGGCTGGATCTAGTCCCCGTGCCTTGAGTTTGACACCCCTGCCATAGAGTAATCTGCAATAAATTGCAGAATTAAGGAGGAAGTTTCTAGGGGATTGATCACCCAACTAACTGGTCCCATAGGTTACAATGGATCAGATATTCCAAAACAATTAAGAACCTCTGTGCTCCCTGCCTACCCAAAATTGGCAAAGATGAAAAGTGTATTATTATTTTTATGTAGGTCTTGTTCTAGTTCTTTTACAATGATTCTTGAAAATAAGATTGATTTCATTTTGAGTTCCATTGTCTTTGGGTTTGGTGCTCACTTCCCAGAAAGTCTACCTAGAATAATTTTTAAGATTACTGCAGTGTTTATTTATTTAGAGCAGGGGTTCCCAACCTCCAGTCCGTGGATCAGCACTGTTCCGCGGCATGCCAGCAACCAGTCCACGCAAATAAGCGAAGCCCCACCCGGAAAGCAGACAGCACGCAAAACCAAGCCCCCTGCAGTCCGCTGAAAAACCTCTCTCCACGGAACCGGTCCTGCTGATTTAGAATACGGCAAAAAGAATGTGAAAAAGTACATCAGAGTTACATTCTCAGTGAGCAAATATGAGACTATTTATTCTATTTATAAATTCAAAGGTAAACTATTTATATAGTCAAACCATGATGGAGTTGGCTACGGAAAATCTCCGGGGTTCCCCTAATATGCACTCAAAAGTCCCTGTTTCACAATACACTGCACTGTCTGCTTTGAAGCAGCGCAGCTACATTTTCAAAGAGAAGAGCTTTCCCCATTTATGGAGGAGGCTAGCACACCTGCCATGTTGAGTACAGGTAATGGTCCTTGACTTACAACAGTTCAATAATGACCATTGAAAGTTACAACAGCACTGAAAAAAGGTGACTTATTATGACCATTTTTCACAGGTATGAACTTGGCTGCATCCCCATAATCATGGGATCAAAATTCAGGTGCTTGGCCACTGGTTCATATTTATGACCATTGCTATGTCCCAAGGTCATATAGTGTGACCTTTTAACAAGCAAAGTCAATGGGGAAGCCAGACGCACTTAACAACTGGGTTACTAACTTATCAGCTGCAGTGATTCACTTAACAACTGTGGCAAGAAAGGTTGAAAATGGGGCAAAACTCAGTTAACAAATGTCTTGCTTAACAACACAAACTTTGGGCTCCATTGTGGTCGCACATCGAGGACTACCTGTATTAATTCTATCTCCAGTACTGGAAGTTAATTGTTTGTTGCGGTGATCTACCTCTTTGCTTTACTTCTCTCTTTCCTTTTTTACTGATAGTAATACAGGTGGTCCTCAACTTACAACAATTCATTTAGTGACCATTCAAAGTTAGAACGATACTGAAAAAAGGAACTTACGATTGTTTTTCACACTTATGACCATTGCAGCATCCCCAGGGTCATGTGATCAAATTTCAGAGACTTGGCAGTTGGCATATATTTATGACGTTCGCACTGTCCTGGGGTCATGTGATTACCATTTGAGCTGTGGTGGCGCAGTGGTTAGAATGCAGTAGTGCAGGCTAAATCTGCCGCCTGCCAGCAGTTCAATTCTCACTGGGTCAAGGTTGACTCAGCCTTCCATCCTTCCGAGGTCAGTAAAATGAGGACACAGATTGTTGGGGGAAATAGGCTGACTCTGTAAACCTCTTTGAGAGGACTGTAAAAGCACTATGAACAAGGGGTATATAAGTCTAAGCGCCATTGCTTTTTGTAACCTTCCCAATCAGCTTCTGGCAAGCAAAGTCAATGGTGGAAGCCAGATTCACTTAAAGTCTCCATGATTCACTTAAGTACTGCAGTGATTTGCTCAGCAACTATAGCAAAAAGGTCATAAAATGAGGCGCAACTCACTTAACAACTGCCTCGCTTAGCAACAGAAATGTCGGGCTCATTTGGGGTTGTAAGTCAAAGACGATCTGTAAATCTGCAATAAAATAGTCATGGTGTAACTCTGGTATATAGTTGCATAATGATTGTCTTGTTCATTGCTTTATTGGCATGTATACATATAACCTTCCACATCAATAAAATGCCGTGTACCAAATGCATATTTGCAGTCTCTGCTTGGTTGCAATTTCAAAGAGAACCTTGACGCAATCCCTAATGATATGTCAGGTATGAAAAATCAGGTCCATACACGAAGATCCAATTAAACTGATTTATTGCTAATCATACCTCAGCACAGACAGTTTTTGAATTAACAGCTCCTGCCTCAGGAGTGTCAAACTCAAGGCCGGGGGCTGGATCCGGCTCATGGGATGCTTAAATCTGGCCCGCAGGGCCCTCCTGGAAACAGCAAAGGACCAGTCTGCGGTGCCTCTGCCAGCAAAAACTGAGCTTGGGAGGGCTGTGTGTGGCCTTCCCAAGCTCTGGCAGAGTGTCACAGCCAAAAACGGATTTCAGGAGTGATGTCGAGCTGGCCACGCTCATCCCGACCCCCCAAAGGTCAACCCTGATGCGGCTCTCAATGAAATTGAGTTTGACATCCCTGTCCTGCCTGGAGTTAGATAAGAGTCCATGGAAATTCAAGGAGGTTGGACTTGATCTACTTGTGACTACCTAGGGATTCTAGGCTGATTCCTCTTTTAACTCTGCCCCCACCCACCAATTTTGCCACTCCTTCTCCTACACCACCCTCCGCTTCAACTCTCAATAATCAATATCATTTTGATTCTTCCCGCAGGAGCTTCCACGGCGAGATGGCCTGGATGTATCAATTTCCAGCCTGGTGGATTTGTCTTCATCGACCACCGCAGCTACACTGAAGCGTCCCACAAGTCTCAGCCGCCACGCCAGTGCAGCAGGATTCCCTCTCTCCCCTGCTATTCCCAGAGGTCTTGCCAAAGGTCACAAGCCCCACAGTGCCTATAGTCCCAATGAACTCGGCGAAGGGAGCCTAGCAGAAGCTGAGGACATTACACAACTGCTCGCTGACGTGGCTTGTTTTGCAGAGCGCCTGGAGAAGCTGAAGGATGTTGTATTGCAGGAGGGTGAGTAATATTGCACGTGCATGTACAATAACCATGAGTTAGGGATTGAGCTCATGACTTGACACTCCATGTCTGAGAGCAGCTGCTATAACTTTCAGTTAATTCCCATTTTGCTTCCCCCCCAACGCATACATTTTGTTGTCAATTCACCCAACAGCCTTGTCCACATTGGTATCTCCAATTTGCTGCCCGAATTCCCCACATTCGCAACAGAAAGTGCCTCTATTTTTATTTATTTGTATCCAGCCTTTATTATTTTTAGAAATAACTCAAGGCGGTGAACATACCTAAATAACCCTTCCTATTTTCCTCACAACAATAACTCTGTCAGGTGAATTGGCTTAGACAGAGAGAATGAGTGGCCCAAAGTCTCCTGGTGATTGGCCCAAAGTCACTCAGCTGGCTTTCATGCCCAAGTCTAGAACTTTCAGTCTCCTGGTGATTGGCCCAAAGTCACCCAGCTAACTTTTATGTCTAAAGTGGGACTAGAACTGATTGGCCCAAAATCACTCAGCCGCTTTCAGGCCTAATATATGCATCACATTCATCATACAGAATATGCATCATATTCTATACAAATGGAGAGTTTAAGCAAGCATGCCAGGGGTGGGTTTCTTGCCCCGTTCCAACCGGTTCGGTTGGAACGAGGCCGGCGGCATCCTCGTGCATGAGTGCGGCGCGTGCGTGCACGCGCGCGGCGCACGCATGCATACTAGCGTCTGTGCGATGCTCCAGCTGCTCCTGGAGGATTGCGCAGGCGCTGTATGCGTCCTGCGCATGCGTGGAAGCGCAGAACTCGTCAAAACTGGGTAAGGAGTGGGCGCGGGCGCGCAGGTGGGCCCTTCGCCGTTCCCGGAAGTTACTTACTTCCGGGTTCGCCGACCAACCGGTTCACAGGTATTAAAAGGACATTTCTTCCAACACTTTTACAAATCAAAGTTTCATTGACTATTTTTTTCCTATTGTTTGTTTGTTTGCC